TCGACCAATAATAATTATCTCAATTTATGTAGTTGATACGATCGATAGTTCCACTATTATTTATTATTCTTTCCCAAGATATAATAAACCTATAATTACCACGAGACGATCCTATTCCTAGTCCGACTTCGTAGGGCAAACATGCATTGACATTTAGGATTATCACATAAGATCGCACACGCCACAAATATTATTCCTAATATTTATTGCCCTTGTGTTCTAATAACAGTGTTCTGCCTACTGTGAGTTTTCCAACACTACGAATAAGCAACTTATTGTCCTAATGGTGCGCAAACACTAAAACAATCTAATTATGCATATTAATGAAATCACAATGCAAGAATTAACATAAAAACATAGGTCTCGAATTAAAACTAAAAATTAAACAAATTTGTCATCCACCCAATACATGAGAAAAATTAGCCTAGCATACTGTTGAAATCAAACAAATAAAAGTGGAAGAACATCACCAAAATTTGACGGGACATGATTAACTCCATGAAGTTTCTCCACTTTTGCGCGCGAGATATATTTTTCCCCAATTGGCATGTAATTAAACTCCAGCAGCCGCCTTTTCAACGTGTCTTCCGGTCAATTACGTGTGTTGTATCAATAAAAAAAATCAACCCAATGTTTGTATAATCTCAACCAATCGGCAGCTGAATTCTCCACCTTCTAGCCGTCTTTTTCTAATGGTTTATTTTCTCTATTCTTCTTCCCGCAGTTTCTGCCTTTTGATGCGTATAAAGTATATAAAATTCTGCCCCACTGCCGATTTTTTTGTTGACCCACAAAGAAAACAAATATTTTCTAGGTTATTCTCCAACTCTCCTCCTTTTGCATGTGCATGAATTTATATACATATATCTTTCCCACTACAGCCGGCAACCCTTTTGAAGTTCAATTTCAGCTGCCTTTTTTTGTGTATATGTGTGTCTCTCTTTCTTCCTCCAGCCACCAAAGAGTGTATATATACACGTGCAATCAACCCCGGCAGTCCAATTAATCCCCCCGGCTCTTTGTGTTTATATCTTTAATGGCAGAATTCTCCTCCCAAAGATGCCGACCAGCCTCTTGTTTTTTTCTGTATCTCTAATTCTTGTAGCCGCCAATGTATACGTATCTTTATTTCCCTGGCTGCTTTCCCCTTTCTTTGGATTTTCTGTGTGTATATATATGAATCATATGATACAATACAACCTAGCAGCTCTTCTAGTCCAATTAGAGGTCCAACTGTCCAAGTAAATCTTCAATTTGAATTTCAAAGCAAGTCCAATTGAGCCCATTTAGTAGATTATTTTTCTCGAAGTACTCAATTTTCAAAGCGGTGCAAATCAGTCCAATTTTTGTAGTTAGACTTTGATTCCCAAAAATTGCATCCAATGGCCAATTTAATCCACGTACTTTGGATTTTGCTATTTTCACTCGTTTTTGCTTCTCTCCTTCACTTCCTTTTCAATCGTAGATTTTCACCTATTAAATGTAAAACACAACAATTTAGAATGTATTTTGTCAAAGGACTATCAAATATTGTTATTTTAGAGCTCCGAATAAGTGTATAAAACACACTTATCAATATGTATATATACTACAGACTTCAACTTCTCAATTTTTGTTAATTTTGCAATCATTTGTTGTTGTGGTAAAATTTCTATATTTTAATTTTATGTATGTTCGACGATTTTATATTTTTCTCCTATAGGAAATGAAGAACAAATGTAGATAGTTTAAAATTATGTGTGAAATTGTGATGTATTGCTGTATAGAATTTATTTCGTCAAAATAAATAAATTATAATCTGTGTAATATTTATTTGTGATTTCTAATTCAAATGCATGTATTTAATGTGGTTTTAATTAAGTTGTATTTATGGTTAACTCCCATATGGATTCTTTCGAACCATCTACAAATCAATTATCTGGTTTTTGTAACATTGAAAGCGTTCACAAAAGCACAAGCGAATCATATAATGCTTTCATTCATCAACAAAAAAGTCAAAGACAGGCGGACAGAAGGAATCAAAACCAAATTGTGCACGTTGATCGTCGTAGAAGAGTAAGCGATCCTAGAGTATTTGAAAATCATAATCTAGGTGCTACTCAAGTTGATCAACATTTAATATGTTTTGAATCTGAGCCTTCTACTTCGAATGAAAAATTGACAAACGTTCATCTTCCTAAACTACAAGGAAGTGTTAATTTGTTAAATATACCAAGTACCGCATATGTATTACCGACATGCAGTTATTGTAAACACTGTGGTGCACGTAAATTTTATAGGGAAAGTAAAGGTTTTTGTTGCTCTGATGGAAAAGTTAAAATATTTATGCTAGATTCATCAACTAAATTATATGATTTATTTACTTCAAAAGAGCCTACATGTATAGAATTCAAAAAGTTGTCACATGGATATAATAATCACTTTGCATTCACTTCATTTGGTATAAAGTATGGTAAAGAACTTTTTCAGACATATAAAGGTATTTATACATTTAGAGTTCAAGGACAAGTATATCATTATGTAAATAAATTTATGCCAGAAAATAATACGCCTTCTTATATGCAGTTATATTTTTATGACACAGAAAATGAGCTTCAAAATCACATGAAAATTTCAAAAAATTTAATTGAACCTACTATGATTATTTTAATTGAAATCTTGAAAGTAAATCCATATAGTAAATTTTTTAGGTCTTTAAGTGATATGACAAACCTGCACAATCATCGTATACAAATAAGACGTGACCTAGGAATTGATCAGAGAGTTTTTAATACTCCTTCAGCATCTCAAGTAGCTGCTGTATCGGTTGAGGATGATGAAAATACAAATACTCGTGTTCGTGATATTATTATATATGGCCATTCTGGTGATTCCCATAGAGTTCATTATTATTATGGTTGTTATGATCCTTTGCACTATCCTTTAATTTTCCCATTAGGAGAATCTGGTTGGCATGAAGGCATACAAAGATGCAAAAACATAAATGTTCAGCCTCGTAATTTGATAGATTGTGTTGCGGTTCCTAACACAATAAATTCTGAAACTAAAATTATCGAAAAAGAGGCTGCAGGTTTGTTCATATAATTTTTTTGTACAGTTTTTAATTTTTACAATTCACCATTTTTACTGAATATGAATTCTTTTTTTTTTTCTCATGTAGTGCTTAATGGAAATTCTTTTTTTTTTTCTCATGTAGTGCTTAATGGAACAAAGAAACGATCTCAAGTTTCTTGTCGCGATACTATTCATACAAGTTACAAATTACGCATTCTGATAAGTTTGTATTACTTCATACGGGTAGACTTTTTTAATAGTACGTTGTAGATATGTACGTTAAAATTGAAACTGTGTTAGATTATTTTCGAAAGAATTAGAAACAAATTCGTGCGGAACTCTATCAAGGTATTGTGGATAGTGTTGAAAATGGGGAAACAAGAGGGTACAAGATTGGGAAGAAATTTGTTTTACCACAATCTTTTACATGTGATCCTAAAGATATGCTAAGAAGATATTTAGACGTGATGACTATTGTTCAACATTTTAGAAAACCAGATATATTTTTAACTATAACATGCAATCCAAATTGACCTGAAATTAAGCAAGAACTAAAATATAATGATGAAGTTCAAAATTGACCAGATTTAATTGCACGTATATTTAGAGCAAAATTAGAGGAGTTAAAAAATGATTTATGTAAAGAAAATATCTTAGGCCCTATTGTTGCTGATATATATATGGTTAAATTCCAAAAACGAGGGCTCCCTCATGCGCATTTGTTATTGATTTTTAATTGTACCCATAAAATTGTATGTGCTGAGCAAGTTGACAAAATAGTATCTTGTGCAATTCCTAATGAAAATAAGTATTTTCATCTTCATTCTATTATTGTAAAACATAATATGCATGGTCCATGTGGAAACCGTAATCCAAAGAATGTATGTATGCTAAAAACTACTGGTTGTAAAAATAAATATCCTAGAGATTAATGTAACACTACTATATTTGGTGATAACTCATATCCATTGTATAGATGTCATAATAATGGTATTTTTATTAAAGTTAGAGGCCACATGTTAGATAATCGATGGGTTGTTCCATATAATCCTTATTTAAGTGCAAAATTTGACTGTCACATTAACGCTGAAGTATGTTCATCTATTAAAGCTGTAAAATATTTGTATAAATATGTATATAAAGGATATGATTGCATTAATTTTTTTGTTGGCAAAAATGAAAATATGGAAGTTGATGAAATTTCTGCTTATCAATCTGCTAGATGGATATCTCTACCTGAAGCTATGTGGATAATTTTTTTCTTTCAACTTATCAGAAATTTATCCAACTGTTTATTCTTTCCAACTTCACATTGAAGATCATCAGCAAGTAAGATACACCGATGAAGTTGACTTATGGAGTATTGTTAATAATGAAAATACAAAAAAAACTATGTTAACTGAATTTTTTTGAATAAATAAAATAAACGAATTTGCTCAAACATTGTTGTATAAAGATTTTCTAGCACATTTTGCCTAGAATGCATATAAGAAAATTTGGACTCCTAGAAAGCAACAACTTGTTATAGGATGAATTGTCATTGCGAATCCAAGTGAAGGAGAGAGATATTTTCGTCGAATTCTTCTTAATCACATAAAAGGGCCAACATCATTCAATGATTTAAAAACTTTGAATGGGGTAACTTGTGCTACCTATCAAGAACTAGCACTTGCACCTGGTTTTTTAAAGGGAGACAATCATTGTGAAGAATGTTTATCTAAAGCTATTGTATATGAAATGCCTGATTCTTTAAGACGTCTTTTTGCTACAATGCTTACGCTTTGTAATCCTGATTATCCAAAGTTACTGTGGGATAAATTTAAATCTTACATGATTATGATTATGTACATCAAAATATATGTTTGGAAATTGCTGAAGTGCAAGCGTTGGAAGATATTAATTCAATTTTAGAACCGATAGCTAAAGTTATTAATGACTATGGAATAATGCCATTTCCTGTAGATATAGATGAAGCTGAGAGATTGAATCGAATGGTTGCAGAAGAAACGATGAATTTTGATGTTGAAGGAGGCCTTGCTTGTGTGACAATGTTAAATAAAGAACAACAAATTGCATACAATACAATAATAGAAAAAGTAAAAACTGAATCAAGTGGTGTTTTTTCATTGATGGTCCGGGGGGACAGGGAAGAATTTTTTATACAAAGCACTTTTAGCTGGCGTAAAATCTCAAAATTTAATATAGCGTCATCTGGAGTATCTGCATCTCTTTTACCCGGAGGTCGAACAGCTCATTTGAGATTTAAAATTCCTCTAGAAATAGTTGGTAAAGTTAGCTGTTCTATTAGTAAACAATCGGCTTTGGGAACTTTATTAAAAATGTGTAAACTAATAATTTGGGATGAAGCACCCATGGTAAATCATCGTGCTATTGAAGCTGTAGAGAACATGCTTAGAGATGTTACTGATTGTGACTTGCCTTTTGGTGGGAAAGTCATAATTCTTGGAGGAGATTTTCGACAGGTTCTACCAGTAGTACCAAGAGGGAAAAAAGAAGACATAATGAAAGCTAACTTAGTTTTCTCAGATATATGGCCTTTATATTTACAACTACCTTTAGTTAAAAATATGAGAGCAAAATTAAATCCTATCTTTTGCGATTACTTACTTAGAATTGGAGATAGGACAGAAAAAGAACATAGTTGTCATTGTATTCAACTTTTAAACAATATAATTTTACCATTTGAAGATGAAATTACATCTTTAAAAAATTTGATACATCATGTTTTTCCAAATATAGAAGCATATACTGATCATTTACATGACATGATGAACATAGTTATTCTTACTCCTAAAAATGAATGTGTTGATTATATTAACAAAATTTTGCTCGATCAAATTCCTGGTGAAATTTTTACATACTATAGTTTTGATGAAGCAATTGACAAATCAGAACAAAGCTTGCAGGAATATTTTTTGAATAGTTTGACACCAAATGGTATTCCACCACATGAATTGAAACTTAAGGTAAATTGTCGAGTAATATTATTGCGGAATATCAATCATTCTGAAGGTTTATGCAATGGGACACGCCTTACTTGTAGAAAATTTAATAGAAATGTAATTTTGGCTGAAATCACAATTGGTGAATATCGTAGAAAATATGTGTTTTTACCAAGGATTCCTTTTGTACCTCTTTAAAATGATCGAAACTCAATTCAATTTAAAAGAACTCAATTCCCAATTACACCTTGCTTTGTAATGACAATAAATAAAGGACAAGGTTAAACTTTAGATTTTATTGGTTTATACCTTCCAGAACCAGTTTTTTTTCATGGACAACTATATGTAGCGTTATCGAGAGCACAAACAAGTAAATCTTTGAAAGTTTTACTCAAACTGTCAAATGCAGTCAATTTACATAATGCATGCACTAAGAATGTAGTGTATAAAGAATTTTTGTCATTTATACATTCATAAAACTACAATCTTTTCATAGGAATGTCTTTATTTTTGTTCTCAAATTCAATATGTTTTATTATTATTCATTAGTTTCATTGTTTTTATATAAGTTGTAAAGATTAAATATCTAGATTTACATCTTCTGTTAATTGGTTTGAAATCTGCCTTAAATTCAAGAGGGTTAACTAAATATTTAGCGTCATTTATATAAATAACTTTCATTTGATATGCTTTACTTTTATATTGCTTTTTCTCTTTATTGGTTTTTACTACAATTTCAACTACTTTATGCTCTCTTTTTTTCTTATTGTTTATTTAAAGATGGAAACTTTTAGCTGTAGTAACAAGTGATTGCTAACATACATTTTCATCTTTATACCAGCAAACATGTTATCCATCAAATATAGTTTCTATTTGTATGGTAAAGGATGAAGATAAATTAATTTTAATGAACTTCTTAACAAGATTAATCACATTCTTTTCTTTTTATTCCTGATAATGGTGGAAGTTACAAATATAGAAGTCCCTTCTCATTTATTTTTAATTGTCAAGCATATTTTTGGATCATTTCTTAGGATGAATAGCAAACTAAAGTTAGTCATATTTTTGTTCGTGTCTTCGTATTTTCTATACTAATAAATGTCAAACATATATTACTATTTGTATTTATTGGAGAGTACACTTTTGTGAAGAATTTTTTTTTCTAAATAGGTAGAATGAACAATTTCTCAATACATAATTTCGGTAGTTTTGTATTATTAAAACATTCTTACATGATAATGTAATGCTATATGAGGTATAATTTTTTATATAATTCTCAAGTTATATGATAATGATGAAAGAAAATGCTTTATTTGTAAATTGATTTAAAACGCTTAAAATTTAAATTGATATTTGCTAATTGAGTATTTATTGTTTTACTGGTTTTTCCTTATTGATTAGGTGACATCACTGATTGCGGGTAATAGAGCTTATGAAAAAGACGTACTGTTATGCAGCCTACTATGATGATTTAACTTCCTTAAAATTAATTCTTTCTGCTACTCATTAGACTTCGATTGCATAGTCTAGGTTACTATTTCTTCCCAATGTTGTCTTATATTAACATATACACTAACGTTTGTCTATTTCAAACAATAAGCTAATTATCGTTCTCAAATGAAAGGTCGAGGCATTTTTCAAATTTGTGAGTATAAGAGATGAAAATGTTGCAACTCCTAAAAGAATTCCATCCACAAAAGGTACGTTTCTTACTTTTCAAACGTCTCTTTGATCTCTTTCTATTCAAGAATATTTGAAAATCTTCTCATGTTCTTCTATTTCATGAATTTTTAGATTTTTTTTATCGTTTGATTTTATCGTTCCATCGATTTTTTTTGTTAAAAAGTATTAACGTTTGTGACTTTTTTAAGTTTTGTTTTGTAGAGTTTTGAGAATAATTCATTCTGAGAAGAAAAGTATAAATTTTGTGTGTGGATTTAGAGGATTATGCTTTATTATATTTCGAGTAGTCCAGTATACACAAAACGAAATGTATGAATGATGAATTTTTCAAAGTTCAGCCTATTATTGCAAATCCCTCTACTTATGGTTAGAAATTGTAATGTTGATGTATATAAATAATAAAGTTTCAATATGTTTATTTTTTTAATAAAATTTAGTTTGTAGTAGAATCATTTTACCAGAATTTGTAACTTAGAACTCAAGAAAGAGAATTCAATTATAAGCTTTCTTATTTGTGTTACATTATTATTCATAATACATGACTTGTATTTCAATGTTTCAACCATTTTATGCTTTTTTTTTTCTTATTGTTTATTTAAAGATAAAAACTTTTATCTACAATAACAAGTGATTTCATTTTCATCTTTATACCAGAAAATATGTCATCCATCAAATATAGGTTATATCTGTATGGTAAAGGATGAAGAAAGATTAATTTTAATGAACTTCTTAACAAGCTTAATCACATTCATTTCTTTTTATTCCTGGCAATAGTGGAAGTTAAAAACATAGAAGTCCCCTCTTATTTATTTTTAATTGTTAAGCATATTTTTGGATCATTTCTTAGGATGAATAGCAAAATACAATTGGTCATAAACTTAATCATGCTCATTAAAAGAAATTAGGAAATTAGTCATTTAATAGTTTGTTTATTTTTTTTTTTGTGTTTTCGTATTTCTTATACTAATAAATGTTAAAAATATATTATTATTTGTATTTATTGGTGAGTAGACACTTCTGTTAAGAATATTTTTTTCTAAATAGGTAAAGTGAACAATTTACTCAATACATAGTGTCGGTAGTTTTGTATTATAAAGCATACTTATATGGTGATGCAATGTTGTATGGGTTATTAATTTTTACATAATTCTTAAGTTATATAATAGTGATGAAAGCTTATGCTTTATTTGTAAATTAATTTAGAATGCCCAAAATTTAAATTGATATTCGCTAATTGAGTATTTATTATTTTACTACTTTTTCCTCATTGATTAGGTGACATCACTTGCTGCGGAATGTAATAGAGTTTATGAAGAAAACATACTGTTGTGCAGCCTACTAATTGCTTAAAATTAATTATTTCTGCTACTCATTAGATTTTGATTGCATAATCTTGGTAACTATTTCTTACTAATGTCGTCTTATATTAACATATACACTAATGTTTGTCTATTCGAAACAATAAGCTAATTATTGTTCTCAAATGGAAGGTCGAGGCATTTTTCAAATTTGTTAGTATAAGAGATGAAAGTGTTGCAACTCCTAAAAGAATTCCATCCACAAAAGGTACGTTTTTTTACTTTTCATACGCCTCTTTGATCTCTTTTTATTTAAGAATATTTGAAAATTTTCTCATGTTCTTCTATTTCATGAATTTTTGGATTTTTTATCGTTTGATTTTATCGCTCCATCGGTTTTTTTTGTTGAAAAGTACTATGGTTGCGACTTTTTTCAGTTTTATTTTCTAGAGTTTTAAGAAATTAATTCATTCTAAGAAAAACAATATAAATTTTGTGTGTGCATTTAGAGGATTATGCTTTATTATATTTTAAGTAGTCCAGTATGCAAAAAACCAAATGTGAGAATGATGAATTTTTCAAAGTTCAGTCTATTATTGCAAATCCCTTTACTTATGGTTAGAAATTGTAATGTTGATGTATTTAAATAATAAAATTTCAATAAGTTTATTTTTTAATAAAATATAGTCTATAGTATAATTATTTTACCAGAATTTGTAACTTAGAACTCAAGAAAGAAAATTCAATAATAAGCTTTCTTATTTACATTACATTATTATTCACAATACATGACTTGTATTTCAAAGTTTTATATTTGTTAACATATGTTTTCCATATTCAAAATATCACATGCTCGTGTTTCTAAAACTTTTGATATAATATTGCGTATTTTCATAATGCTTTGGATGTCATTTTGTATTATCATTTCTATAAATGTCCAACTTTTCTCTGTTATCTTATCCTTCCAAGTAATTAAATCGATATTTAATTTTTAAGACGAGAATTTTTTTCTTTTCTTGAAATGTCTTTTTGCATTTATTTTAGAGAAATGGATGATGATGCATATGTATAAACATTAATCAAACAAAAAATTAAATGTTTTCGAGAGTTTATGTTTTACAAAAAGGTTTATTATTTATAAAGTAGAACTATACGTATTCTTTTATCCACATATTTATTTCATTTATAATAGAACTTTCTATTTACTTCAAAGAAAGATAAAATAACCTACTCAAGTAAATAGCCACACATATGAATTTCCTCATCTATTTGCATTTGTACTTTAAAGTGTAGGATATTGGTTGTGTTTAAAGTTATTAGCGAATAGTTTTCTTTTGCATTTAAACGTCAATTATATTTCATAAACAAAATATGTTCCCTAATATTTCTTGCTTGTTACAAATTTGATACATTTTGTGGATTATGGTTGAAACATAAAAGAATATATTCATAAATTGCAAAAAAGAAACTAAAGCTTGATGCTGCTGTATACTTCGTTACACACTATGAGTCAATATCTCATTTACCAACAGGCAATATATGTAGTTCCTATATTGTGCCAGAGCAAAATGTTAAGTGTACCATTTACAGTTGTACAATTAATATTAATGGTTGCAATAATTTTTTATTATTGGGAAACTAAATTACGCAGGTTTTCCATATCCAATCTTTTTTAGAACTAATCTTTTCCGTTAATTATCAAAGTTAGATATAACACAAATTCGCAATATACTTAGCGTGCCATCCTTTTTTTTAAAGAAATTCTAGCATGAATGCCTCATTATTCAACTATGTTAGTAATTCATTATTGCAAATCTTTGCAGGTCATCAATTAGCAATTGTTAAGGAAATAGGAAAACGACTCGGGATGGGCATAAATATATACCCTTCTTGATTTTGCCTCAATAATGATAACCATCATCTTTGCCTTACGTTTTATTTAGTGCTACATTAAATAATCTATTCATGTTTTAGAAATAGAATTTTTTTTTTTACAAATTTTGATGTCTTTGTTAGCGAAATATTTCTTTTGATTTAAATTACCGCAAGTGTACGGTTCGTTAACAAGTAATAAAGTGGATCAATTGATTCCGAATATCGTCCCACAGAGATTGGTTAATTCAATTTTACTTATTTTAGCCTTAACCGAAACTAATTGAGTTGAAATGAATTTTGGAATCAAAAACCCTAATTTTGGAAGAAATCCCCAAATTGAAAAACCCTAATTTCAAATCAAACCCTAAATTGGGGAAAATCCCCAAATTGAAAAACCTTAATTTCAAATCAAACCCTAATTACTTAAATTCACTTAACTAATGACTCAATTACGAAATGTTATGAAAAATCGATGAAATGTATTGTCAATTTATGAAAAATCTATGTAAAACAAATGCACTAGGATCACGAATCCCCAAATAATGACCAATTAAACCCTAATTTCACAATTTTGATAATTCAAAAAGAATTTGATAAATCAATGCTCCTAAATCTATTCAATACTCTCTCTCGAGATGTATTGAACCTATTCTCATAAATCATCAGCCTATATCTCTATGACGGATGCAATTTTACAATAACGCATATAATCTTTTTGTGAGTAGTTAAAGATTTACATAGGGCATAGGGGTATATTTATATCCCCTATCGGACCCTATGATGAATTATATATGTCGAGTCTAATCTAATTTTCTCAAATTCAGAATTAAACCACCAAGTTCACACAAATCAAGTGCACATTAATTGTGGAAATAAGTAAATCAATATAATCCATTCAAATATCCATCAAACTAATAATTCAAAATCATGAAATAGAAAGTTTAATGAAAATTACATGGTTCATCGATCACCTAGTTGCAAAAATCTATCCTATCATGATAAAAATAACGAAAACTAACAAAATATGAATAAAATACATCACCGGGTTGTCAAAGGTTGAAGAAATCTCGTAAATCTCGCATCAATTGCTTGTTCTTGCCTTCAATCCCACTCCAGGATGAATGCTTTTGCCTCCCAAGTCGTTCGTGCGGCTTCTGGACGTCTTGTTGCTATTTAAACCCGTCCAAATTAGGTTATCAAAGGAGTTGTAATCATATAAGGAAAGTGCAAAATTTGGGAAAATTTATACCTATGCGACCGCATAGGCATAACCTATGCGACCGCATAGGTTTAAGGAAAACGCCCTTTTTAATCCTTGGAGGTTCACTCGCGGTCGCATAGGTTTTATACTATGTGACCACATAGTATAGCTACTTTCTTGTTTGAGTCATTTTGGTCCTCAATTTTCATTCCTTCACTCCTTGACCTCCTCTCTTGTTCCTAGTTGCTCCAATGGTCCCTTATAACTTCCAATTAGTGCTTGGCTTGATCAATTGTTTGATGTGTTCATCGGATCAACTTTCAAATAATTGCAATTTGGTCCCTGAATTTTCTCTTCGCTTCAATTTGGTCCTTTTTCGGCTCTTTTCTCCTGAATTCCACTATTTCCATAGAATTTCCTACATTGCATGAATTTGACAAAGTTAAGTAGCAATTAAATCATTTTACTTGTATTTAAGTCATGTTTGTGATGTAAATAAGTGTGCAAAAACACACTTATCAAACCCCCCAAACTTGAACTATTGTTTGTCCTCAAATAAGATAGTGATATAATTCTGAACAAACATGGCTTAACACCTTGCCTTGGCTAAGGATTGGACTAAGTAATTGATTTTATGAAAATTTATCAGTGCAAGATGAATCAACCTTCACCTGTTAAGTGCATACTTGACGTGTGTGTGTGTGGATTCATGCTAACATATCAAGTTCATGATGAGTTTGAGTCCTGACCCCAAGTGGTCAAATGTCTCCTTACTCGCTCGAGAGATACACAACCCCCCAAACTTATTCTTTTCACTCAATTATCCCGGGGTTGTGTTTAAAAATTATGAGTTTACCTAGCTCTAGTTCTCACCCTCTCGTAGTTTGGATTAATTTCACTATCACAAGTTCACACATCAACAAGTGAAGGCTCTCCTAGTTTTGATTGCTTTGACACTCAAGACTAAACTAGGTTACTTGCCTCGCCTCAAAGGTATAGTTTCTTCCACTAATTGTCCAAGGGCTTTTCTTCTTGTTATTGTCTCTTTTTGATTTTCTCACTTTTCTCTCTCTCTCTCTCTCTCTCTCTCTTTGCTTTCTATATAACCCATGTAACGAACTTTAGGCCGGTGACTCCCAAACCAGTTGGTTTTAGGGCACCAGGTTTTAGACCCTTGCAGGCTTATTCACTTGAGTTATAAAGGCTCGATCAGATGACTTTTTATTAACTTCTTTACTTCTTCCTTTCTATATGACCCATGTATCGAGCTTTAGGCCGGTGATTCCTAGATCAATTGACCTTAGGGCACCAAATTTTGAAATATCCTTACAGGCTTACTTGCTCGAGTCATAAAGGCTGAAAAAGAAGTGTCTTATTCTCACAAATTAAGTTCAAGCCCTTATTTTTCTAGACATTTGGTATCCAAAACTAACCCTCAATTTAAGATTTTCACCTACTCTTCATCCCACTAGTCTAGGCAATCCACACAATAATTCATGCACAGAGCCTCACTCATTTCAATGTTCTCCTATAATAGCTCAACTATCACCAAACTGTCTTAAGGTATTTTACAGGTTTATTCAATAGAGGGTTATAACTATCTCTCTACTTATTGCTCAAAACCCCCAATCACTTACCTAACATATCAAGCATGAATGACGTGCATAAAGAATGTCAAGTATTGCATCAACAAGTATAGGTTAGCCTAATTAGCACCGACCCCAAAGTTTTGAAATGTACCAATCTAATAGTAACATCATAGCCGGCAAGGCGATTAAGCTCACACAAGCATACATAAGCATAATCAATATTCACTCACAAGCATGTCTCATGCAGCAATTAGTCAAAATAAATCTAGATTGTGGAAATGCAATTAGTTACATGCCGAATGTCTTAATCAAATTATGCCACCATCCCCCAAACTTATACAAGATATTGACCACAATGTGAAAAAATAAGTTTAGAAGGCAGAATTT